CCCGTCAGGGTTAAGACTTTACACTCATTGCTTAGTATTGGTTGATTCGAGGAACGTATTCGAGAGTGTTTCATTAAGCTAATAGCTTCCAACAGAATCGAAAACTAGAATAAATTAGTATTAACTTAGTATTTAATATAGATGATTCGACATATTCTTGTTCAAAAGGCATGATTATTATTCTCATGAATATTTAAAATTTCGGGACAGAACAATTATGCCAATAAGTGGATGAGACATGGATACGCCGTTTTGATCTTGAGCACAAACCTTAGCACAAACAGCGAAATCACTTCAAAATAAATCAAATGACCCACATGTGTTTATAGTATGATTGTTTTCTTTTTCTATTGTACACATGGGATGCAACACGTGGAAAACATGAAAACTAAAGTACAAGAATAGACTTAATCAAGAAATCAGTGACTGTAGGGTAATGCAACCTAAGTGGTTGCGTGTACTACATGGCATTTAATCTATTTTTGCACTGTTTGAACCTACCCTTTTTCCACGTTCGCCATTTTCTTGTTGCTGATGACCACCTTTTATTCATTCATTTTTGTGTTTAAGGTCCACGTTTGTGTACTTCTATAACTTTTTGAAATACCCTTGCATAGCAACATATGGTAATCATCACATCGGTCTTAAAACTGGCACAATGAAAAAAGAGCACCTGCTTATTAAGGAAACTTATCTTGTCAAGTAAGCAGTGTCCTAACCTACATTAATTACTTTTTCGTAGAATTTCAAATTTGTAACTTTATCTTAACCTACATTTCGCTATAGTTATGTATGATTTTGAAATGTTCTTTCTTAATATTTAGGGCAGTGACATTTTAACTCTTTCAAAACTGTTTGAAATGAATTGAAGTCCAAACTTGACACACATTTTGAATCGATATCAAATATGTATACGTATTAACAAAAATAATTGGTCGCTGGCGACCAATTATTTGCATGCTCCCGCCATATAAAGGCTGGGGCATAAAGTGTCCTGTTCCGTCCTTCATTCCGTCATCATCAGTTTCCGTTCATCATCTTAGTAACGGCTGCACACATTTAACTCAAATTTGGCATATGTCATGAGAAAATACAGGCCAAGTTCGAATTTGGTTCGAAGATTTTTGGCAGAGTTATGCTCCTTTAACGTTGAAAATAATAAAAAAAATTCAGTTTCCGTTCATTATCTCCCTAACGGTAAAACACATTCAACTCAAACTTGACATATGGATATGTCATGAGAAAATACAGACCAAGTTCGAATTTTGTCATGGTTCGATAATATTTCGCAGAGTTATGTCCCTTTTACTCTAGTACTTTGAAAACAATATGGAATTTTCTGTTCCGTCTATTATCTCCCCAACGGTATTATCTATTCAACTCAAACTTGACATATAGATATGTCATGAGAAAATACAGGTCAAGTTCGAATTTGGTCATGGTTCGATAATTTTTGGCAGACCTATGCCCCTTTCACTTTGAAAAGAATATGAACTTTTCAGTTTCCGTTCATTATCTCCCCCAATAGTATTTCACATTAAACTCAAATTTGGCATATGGATAGGTTAAAGGAATGCGCAGGCCAAGTTTGAATTTGGTCATTGTTCAATGATTTATTGCGGAGTAATGCCCCTTTCTCTTTGAAAATAATATGAAATTTTCAGTTTCCGTTCATTATCTCCTCGAGGGTATTACACATTCAACTCAAAGTTGACATATGAATATGTCAAAGAAATACGTAGGTCAAGTTAGAATTTTGTCATGGTTCGATGATTTTTGGCAGAGGTATGCCCCTTTAACTTTGAAAAAAGGAGAAATTTCAGTTCCCAATCATTATCACCCCAAAAGCTGTACATATTCAACTCAAATTAAAGATATGGATATGTCATAAGAATGTATTAGTCAATTTCGAATTTGGCCATGGTTTGATGATAGCTGACAGAGTTATCCCTCTTGAACTTTGAAAAAATATCAGAAATTTTAAGTTTCCGTTCATTATCTCACCAATGGTTGTACACATTCAACTCAAATTTGATATATAGATACATCTTAGAAATAAGCAGTTCAAGTTTGAATTTGGTCGTGGTTCAATGATTTTGGACAAAGTTATCTTTCTTGAATGTTGGAAAAATTTTGAATTTTCAGTTTCAGCACTGATATTTTAGTGGAAATGTATGTAGCCATTATTTTGGCTACAAATATGCAATGTGCAATTTACCAACGGTTAACACTTAATTGTTTCAGTGCCTTGAACTTTGTTTAAAAATGGTTTGTGTTAACATTGAATAGTTTTAAGGGCTTTGAACTTAAAATGAAAAAAAAATAACTTGTGCAAACACATTTTGAACTAAATATTATAACATCTGAAATTTTGACTGTATGCGGGGGCATCCGTGGCGTGACGACACATTTCTAGTATTAATGCGTATTATTAAACATTAACCAATTTAATGATCAGCATTATTTTTTTCAACCAAAAACAAGACAATTCTCTAAATAACTGATAGCTCCGCCCTTTCGCTCTACAAGATGTCTACACCTTGTCAAGTTTCTAACATGTCACATTTAGATAAGCTAAATAAATGACCCTTTTAACCACAGGTGAACGTCGCGTGGCCATGACTTCTATACCCCCGTTCCCTCTCTACAACCCAAAACCCTTAAACATCATCCAAACATCAGAAGTATTGACAAAAATAAAAATTATGAAAAAAAAATATGACTCTAAAAAATTAAAAGGTATTTAACTCTACTTTCATTTTGTATAGAAAAATCACTAGCATTTCGATTTTCAGCGCATATATTCATAAAATTTTCACCAATCTTAACAATCTTGGTGTCAAATCTTTATTGATTTGCTCATTTGAAAAACAGTTCTTTTTTCTGTGTGTCAATTTTAGGTTTACAAGAGGGGGGGGGGGGTCATTTTCAATGAGTTTGCAAGCCAAAACATATAATCATTGTATTCTTAATATCAAGGATTGTTAATGCAGTTCATTCATATCAAGTGAAAGAAAATATTGTTTGGGTTACTTTTTCTAGAAAATATAAAGTTTAAAACAGTCAGCAATTTATACCAGACATTTTTCTTAGAGTTAAAAGCATATAAATAAGTTGCTATGTAATAATTTGTCTCTGCGTGCCCCACATGTATTATCTATGTAATAAATTATTGTATCCTCACATTTAAAAACACCTGACCTCGACTTTTTTTAGGTTTGCATTGCTTTGCTAACCTAGATGTTTTACAATTCAGAGTGCAAATCACACCTCTAACTCCTCCCTAATATAATGCATTATTCAGACTAGTTAGACGACAGATTAAGTAAATTTTATTTAGTTATTACACATTAACCAAAGTTAGACTTAACAGAAATTAAAAAAATTCTACAATGCGATTGGACAAAAAAAAATGTTGATCATTGAATAATAAAAATGTATTTAAAATATTTTCAGTTTATTACCTAAAGTTGCATTATGCTCATTTATTTCGCTGTCAAATTGAGTTGAATTAGTAAAGAATATATGTCAACAGATTGGTAATTAGTACGGTGATTGACCAATAATTTAGATTGACAATTGTTTATGATACACTATAGAAACTACCTTGATTATAAAGACTGTCTAACTCTTTCTAAAGAATTGAGCGTTACCGATACATTCTGGACGAAATTTATAGACATTTATTGGGTTATTAGTTTCATTGTAAAATATAAAATTGAACAAAATTGTGTAAAGCTAATTTATTTTTACTTGTTCATTGTCCATTTATACTTTGATGTGCATAATGTCACTTGAAAGGAATAACTATGTTTTAAGGCATTTCTGTGGCATGCACTTTTTCTCTTGTCAAGTTTCCTATATTTCTTTTAATTTTGATACTATGTAAAATCATACTAATACATGCATTTATTTTAAAGCATTTAAAGCTTGAATATTAAAAGAGCTCTTTGTCATAAAATGTAATGAGGAAACTATATGATCATCTTTATATAAAAAAAAACGGTTTCCTATGTATTATTGTTAGCATTTAGCTATAAATCACATAGGCAAAATGATTGTTTCTTCTCAAAAGTTATTTTTTGAAATATTTCTTCATGAACCATTTTAAACATTTTTTTAACATTTTTACTGCTTAGAGAGTCTAACTCAAAATGTTTAAGGCATATGAGAGATACGTAATTAATATCAAAAGAAAAATGAAGTAATAACAAAGTTGACCCTTCTTGGTTTGGAACGCACATCCCTCAGTGACAGTAGTTCTAGCTATTCTAGCAGCTCTACCCTTCAAAGAGGACGTTATGTATTACGGGGTTATACCTTAAAAGCTATAAAGATTCTGCCGTAAGTTTTGGTTTTTATTCATTAGCTGACCCATGCTAATTAAACGTACACTACTAAATCAAAAATAATATTTATCAACATTTAACATTTTTAAACAGAAACGAATTAATATTTCATTCACTAAAATGGGCAAACATTTTTTAATAACGTTTACATAATAGTTCAAGAGCAAGTTACATGCCTGATCACCTGAAGATTGTAGGGCTGAATGTGAAATTAGTGCTTATAAATGAAGCAAAATGTAAACAAAGTACAATGAATGTAGTACTTTTACTTCCATACAATATACTTAATCATAACATCTGTATTTATTGCCAAAATACAAAAAAAACAAAAAAACAACAACAACAAAACAACAACAGAAGAAGAAGATGATACAGGTAATTCATGAATATTTGCCAATGAGTAACTTTTTTGAAATTATGATGGGTCATAAAAATCAAAAAGTTTTTGAAAAAAAATAGAGGATTCCTTAATGGGGCACAATGGGCCTTTAAAGAACTCTTTAAACAATACAGATGTGTTAGTAGTACAAATTTTGAAATAACAAAAAGTGTGTCAGATTGCGGTTTTGTTCTTAATGTAAATGACATTTGTATTATATGACCTTATCAATTTAGAATGATATCCCCAATCGCTTATATATGACAAGATAATCAACCCAGGTCATTTCTTTCTAATCTTGACATGGAGAAAAGACTGACAAACCTGTAGTGAAACCTCATTTAACAATGCTAGCATCATGTAAGTGTTTTGATTTTAAATATAAATTTGGTTTACCAAATGTTAAATGTATAAAAATATCTTTACTTCATTGGATCTAATTTGTTAGCAAAGTTTAACGCCAAGGTAACTAGTTCCATTTTTGACTAAAATCTAAAAAAAAAAAAAAAAAAAAGGAACAAAATCTAAAAATAAAAGAAACAAGAACATCTAGATCTATAAACACTTTCATTGCATTTAGGCACAATCATAGATTTTCCTAATTCATTTCAAACAAGCATTTATTTGCAGATGTTTATAATCCATCGCTTTTGTTGCATTTTTTCTCTCGTCCTTTTGTAACATTGTTCCTTTCCTGTACTTTAATAGTTGGAAATTGAACAAGGCTTTTACCACAAATATATATAATATGTAATTTCATTCAACGTCTCTTATGAAAATTCTAAAATATGTCTGTACGTTTCTGTTTTTTAGGATTACTTTGTTATAACTGTCGATCTCTTTTAAACACGCAAAATGAATCATGTATTACATGTAGTACAAAATGTAAAGGTAACACAAAATCTTTTGAATTTCTAAATGACAATGCTTTATGTTTTATCAAAGAATTTTTGTTTATCTAATTATTATTTTGTTTTTCTAATTTAAACACCCGTGTAAAGTTGCTGGGTTTTATACGACGTAATTAATTATAAAGTGTCTACATTTGTCATTTGTTTTCAGACATACTAATTATTCTCCTTATTGGAACACTGTACACAGTTGGTTTGTATCTTATGTTATATATTTTCTCTATTCTTAGTTTTAAACTTATTGAAATAATAAAAGACAAGAGCATAAAGAGTCTAGCCTTTAAACTATAAATATACACACCGCCAACTTATTTTGACCTTAAAGGGAGTGCATTGAATTTGCGTGTATTTACAAGTATCGCAAATATTTACGGTAACAAATGTTACATTACTTACTGGAAAGATCTGCTTATTTCCATACAAAAAAACCAAAATACAATCACAAAAGAAATAACGTATCAATAGTCATCATACTTAAAATTGAGCAATGTAATAACACTTAGTAATTTTAACTGAAACATGAAAGAACTAGATTTTTTTCCAAATAAAAGCAATTAGCATGTTAAGTTATGTTTTCACGGCAGAAGAAAAGCTCAACCATTTTTTTTATCTCTTGTTAATTTATATGATTAACAATAAAGTTGTATAAAGCAAATAGCCATTACACATTGTAAATCAGATTGTCTGGAATGCTACTCATGTTCGGGTGTTTCATCAGTCAACAACTGTATCTCAACCACACAATGTCGAACTGGACAGGTATTATATCATCATTATCTTTTTAATTCGTCACCTTCACTTATTCTTAACTAATGATAATAAAAACGATGTCTTAATTTAATATCTTAAATATAATATGGGTGTACTGGTAGACCATAATTATACATGTATCAACTATGAAAAAACATGGTTCATAATTGAACTACTAGAAAAGTTTGATTCAAAGAATCAATGCTTCGAAAGTCAGGAAGTTCAAATATAATCGTAACCAATGTCTTACAAATGTAATTCCTCATTCTATTTAAATAGATCGAAACTCGTATAACGATTTTATGCTAAGATTTTTCTAAAATGTACGTGTCTCATGTTAAATTGTTTTTGTTACTTGTAGTCATGTTATACAAACTCTTTTACATCTGGACAAGACACAAAGTTCACAATGGGCTGCACTAATAACGAAGTAAGTTCTCTGGTCATTCTTACTAACTAGTTTTGCAGGGAACGTCAAATACCAAGCGCACTTAATGATAATAAGATGACTTTTTGCGATGGATGATTGCAGTTATAAATAAAGTTTGAATTCATTAATTGCCGAATAAATCGACATCTGAATTTGATTTCCCTTTTCGGTTTATTAAGTGCCATTAACTTGTATATACTGACAATCATGCTGACATTATCTAATGTTTTATGTGTAGCAATGCGGTATTCAATCAGGAATTGTTGGTCGGGACGTTAGTGAGCGAGAAACGAGCTGCCATGAATGCTGCAGCACGGAGAGGTGTAACAATCAACTATGTATCCACTTTAAACGTAAGTTCCTTTTGTAGATCTAAGTTAGCATAAAGAGTAAATAAAATAAACTGCATTTTCTTTTGTTACCCTTGGTATGAAGCTACTTAACTGGCATATACTATATATGTGTCTCTAAAAAACAAGATAAGGGAGCATCTTAGTGATTATATCTTGGCGTCATAAGTAAAATCTAAATATTAATTCGCTTTAGACTCTTTAAATAAAAATTTTGTACCGGGTCAAATGCGAATCCAAGTGTTCGACATGAAACAATAGAATACCAATAAAACAACAAAAACAACATTTACATAGAAAACACAAAGATTTAAGGGACAATAAGGACAGCAAATCACTTTACAAAACTTACTTTGAACGAAAATAGCCTTCTTTCAATATTACCACCACAACCTTAAAAATATTTGAAAAAGTAAAAAGTATTTAAAACATCATCTTAAAAGCTGTAATTACTTTTATAGTGAAAAGAAAAATAGAAACAGGTTACACATTATAATTATATAAGCAAGGATATTTTAGTGTAAAATAAGTTATAGAAATAATTAATTAATGTTTCCTATTTTAATTTGTAATATTGGTTGTGATAAATTCAGACTTCGTCATAGTATTATGTTTAAATTTCAGCTACAACGTGTATGGACGATGTGAAAGTAGATTGTGCCTACTTAAATGCAATGTTCAACATCTGCAAAGACATTCAGCATTCGAAAAATGTCTGTCCGAAATTCTGCGGCCTCTGCACATTAGGTGAGAATTTTTGTAATTTACACATTCCTGTAAGAGTACTAGTATTTTTGCAGAGGTCACAACAAGCAGCAAATGTAGGCACCAAATACATATTTTACGAAAACGTATATTAAAGTGTAGGTTTTTAATATTTTAATATCTTTAAAAGTTGTATATACAGAACTCATATATCTGACCCATAAAGAAAATGGGTTCTAACATGGAACCGATAAGTGTAAGTTTTGTTTTAATGTCTAGACTTATTTTGTCCAATGCTGCTGATCTCGATCGTACAATGCCTTTACTTCACAAAATATATTACCCTTATAAGTGAGTCTAACACCTGAGTAAGTAAATTTAAAGGCACTTTATTCCTCGGAAATGAATACATTTTTCGTTCGGTAGATAAAGAAAATAAGTGTTTTATAATTTTATAATAATTGATTTAGAATACATGTAAGTGGGGTGCTTATCACTTGAAGAAAATAGCGCTGAATGTGAAATACTTTGTAAAAATGATTCAAAATGTAAGCAAAGTGGCTTCCATTAAAAAAAACAACTGTAATTGTACTAATTGCCAAAACACAAAAGAAACTGAAGACGACTCAGCTCTGTGGTCAATGTGTAACCAAACATAAAAAAGCTTTCATGAATATAAAAAAAATATAAAATTTTGAGGCATTATGGGTTTTTAATATTAGCAACATATTCAATGCTCACCCCATTCGTCATTAACTCATTTGCTTTTATGTGTGATCGTTTCTTAAAAGCACATATTTTTTTTAAACATTAACGTTATTTATGAGACTCCAATTTTCAGACAATGGTATCTCGCAACTGTTTTCAAGCTAAAAGTAAGCTTTTTGGAGCGGTAGTAAAGAAGAAAAAACCACAATATTATCAATAAACAAAACAAAATACAAATGATAAAACTTCAAAATTATTATCAGTCATTGTATCAAAGTTTAAATTTTCAGAAATACACGTGTTATTGATATACAATATCAATAGCAGTGATGGAAATTCTTTTATCTTATTGAGGCATAAAATAGAATTTGATATTTTCATACCTGACTTGCAACATGTAAATTTTTACATTTGACGCCTGTTTTAATACTCGTAAGTTTGACTCATAGGGCATTTTAATTAAAATAATAGTAAGCTCTTTGAAAATCCATTATAGAACCCACACAAAATAACTGCGATCTTTTAAATAAGACTTTTGCGCACATCACAAATTCTAGAGTTTAATGGGAATTTGTTTCTTAAGTGGACGGAAACTGGGCAGACTGGTCGCAATGGTCGACTTGTTCCGTAACCTGCGAGAAAGGAATGCAGACAAGAAAACGAACATGTACCAACCCTCCGCCGGCTCACAATGGCCTTGACTGTGTTGGGAACAAAACCGATACAAAATCATGTTTAAAACAGCCATGCCCAAGTAAGTTATAATTAATATTGCATATTATAACAAAAAGTTAAAACAACCGATTAAATGGTGCATTTTAAGTACGGTTCGTTACAGGAAAGTGTTGTGTCAAGATTGTCAGTTGTTTTAAATGAAACTATACTACGATTCCAAAAAATAAAAAATGAAATTCTAATATAAATCATCCCGGACACTCAAAACAGAAAGAATTGCAAAAGATACTCATAATTAAAAAAAACACCCCATACATTTGTGCTTTTCATTTGTGCCGATTTCAGAGAAAATCGTTGCAACGTTTTTCAAGTTTGGGTCATCTTTTCACAATTGGAATATGGAGTGAGCGAATTATCTGAAATTTTGAGGACAAGTTATTTGTCTAGACTTTAGACGTACATCCATTGGAGTATAAATATTAGTCGCGCAAAACAATTTCTAATCCCGTCATGTCAGTCTGTTTTTCATCAAGATATTATCTAAACCTTTGACATCATGACCACGTCAGTTAAACATGCATCATTTTTATTTCCGAAAGTGATTTGTTTCTTTTAGTTCACGGTGGATGGACAGGATGGGAAAATTGGGGCGCATGCTCAGTAACATGCGATGTTGGGGTACAAAGAAGGGTTCGTAACTGCACAAATCCTTATCCTTCACGCTTTGGAGACCATTGCTTTGGGAATCCATTTGAATACAAACAATGTATGCGGGGTCCATGTGCGAGTAAGTAATATAATAATCATAAACAACGGTACAGAAAACGATTCTCTTTGTTAGAAGAATATTTTTTAGAAAGAAAGCCATTTATCTATAAATGTGAAAAAATATATTCCCTGAAAAAAATACCAGAAAATGAAATAATAAAACGAATTAAATAAGTTGGTTCTCTGTAAGTAAATTCAAAGCAGAAAACCTACAAGAGGTGTTTTGACAAAAGGCATTGACTCTCTGCTCCAAAGGACAGATTTGAACTACATGTATATAGTATACTAACATCGATATTGATTGTCAACACAACGTTTAATTAAATACAGACGAAGGATGGTCTTCCTGGGGAACATGGACATCTTGTTCAGCAACATGTGATCAAGATTCAGAAAATGTACGAATCCATCACCATCTCTATATGGGCAATATTGCGCTGGACCTGTGACAGAGGTGCAAGATTGTAATCAGAAACAATGTGGTAAGAACTTTGAATTTTAGCAAAAAACAAAATTGTATCCCAAAGGAAATTTGAAAAAATTTATACGTTGTTGAAATCAGTTCCAAATAACTAAATTAAATGTCAATACTTCATGATTAGTAATAAAAAAAACATGTTAATTTTGCTTTAGGCGGGCTATAACGAGCAATGTTACTCTGTTATACAAACACTGAGGTTGTCATCCATTAAATTTGATTTCAAATGCTTTCGAGTGATGTCCCTTGTCCGGACTGTTATTACTAATCAGGGATGTCTTCTTTTTCCTATGTTGAATTCATTCACTTTTCCTTATGAACATTCGACTTGACGGTTGCAAAATCTGTTTTATAACAATAAGTCGATAATGATTTGAAAACAACATGCAACCAAGTTAGCGAATTATCGGCAGTCCGTGGTTCTTTTCGTGCATTCGTTGCATTTTTGTACATAATTGCGATTGCTAACGTAGGCGTGTTAAAAATATATTAACTCAATCAAGTTTTGTACTTTTCGACGAGAATAAAGTGTCTTGGTGAATATCTGAATCGCTGGTATGTGTTGAAGATGTACCCATTTTCTTTGTCAAAAAACAGATTTCTGATTTTAAAGTATTTTGTTTTTCTTGCGAATCGTAGCCGTACATCACTGTATGACTGGTTTTAAATGTATCTACGATTCTAAAGAATATAACACATACGTTCACATGTCATATGAATTCTAATCAATCTTTTTAACATGAAACCAGAGGTTTATTAGATAGCAGGCTTATATCTTCATGACACGTCGTGAAATGAAACATCTGCTTTGCAGAGATATGCAATAATTATTTGTTGTTGTTTTTTTGCTGCAAAGTGTTCTGTTGTAATATAGAGACAATGAACGCATGCATAATAATATGAGTGTTCGTGTCTGTCCATTTGCATGTCACATATATTTTCTGTTTCTTGGGGATCATTGATTTCAGCACATTTAGTGTTGACAATTGAGTACCTCTCCAGCCGGTGCTATGGGCGTGAGAGATGATGCAAACTTGTGTCCGTCGTTCGTCGCTATCATTAATTTATGTTTCTACACCTCACGATCGGTTGGATTTATTTTCAAATTACTTAATAAACCTTTGTAAAATAAGTTTCCCCAAGGTCAAGACAAATTTGAACCCCAGGGCATGAATTTTATAACATTTGTAGAGGACAACAAGGGGATGCAGCCAACATTCCAAGTATTAAAGCTAAATACATTAAAAGGTCTGAGAAGAAGTTTATAATTAGCATCAGACTGGAACTATTTATAGTTTTGTAGAGCACCACCTAAGATCATTTCGTTTAAGTTATAAAAGTGATTAAGTAGCAGTACTTGTTTTAAAGAAATTATGGACAACGACGAAAGACGGACACATTGCTATCACAAAAGCTCATCTCTGGGTACTTTGAGCTAAAATAATAAAACAATAGATTTTAATTAAAATAATCAATAATAATGATACTAAAGTCACGTCATTTTACATGTCAAATTAGCAAAACCACTCATTGTCAAAGTTGTTTAAAACAGCTGGTGCATGACTCTGATGTATTTAATCTTTCTGTCCATTTTCCCGAACAAAAAGGTTTTTGATAAGCAACAAGTCATACTTTTTGAATTAAAAAGAAAGTTATGCAGTAAACGTGACTGAAGCATTTTTCAATGTTAATTAATGTATCTGTAAGGCGTGGTTTTCTGATCATTAAAATGTCTTTCAACATGCAAGTACAGCATTAGCAATCTTATTTGTATAATTTTAGAGCCACTGTGGTGTTTCTCGCGCATGCTCTGACAACATACCTTGTAAGTAGTGGCGAGAGATTCATCTTCACAACAAACTTCGTCAACATGGGCGGAGCATACAGCAATACAACTGGATACTTTACAGCACCGGTGGGCGGATCTTATTCGTTTAGTTACCAGTTTTGTCTTTACACTGGTTCACATATGTATGTTAATATCATGATTAACAACACTTACTACTCCGCTTCTCATTATTATGAGGCAAATGTATTCATCTGCAATTCATCAAAAATATTTGTTCACCTTAAAAAGGGCGACAGGGTATGGGTTAAATGTAACAGTGCGAGTGGCGGGACTAGGTTGGTTGAAGATCGACAACACATGAATACATTTTCCGGCAGTTTGATTCGAACTTAATATACTTCAAATCTTTTCATAATTTAGCCTACGAAAAGCTGATCAATTCAGCATATAGGTCAATTGATTAATCACCTAGTGTTTTGTTACCTTTCGAACCACTTACAAGAAAAGTATTTTTTCACGTGATTTTGGTTTAAAACATATTTAAAGGAATAAGAATGGATGGATTGATGTCTGTCTAATATAAATATTCATCATTTAAAAAGAGGAACCATGACAGTTTCCCTATTGACATCAACCCTATAAGAGAGAAATTCGTGTTTAAAGACACTATTTTTTACTTGAGAAATAAGTTCATGGGCGCCGCCATTTTGGCGTTCTGTCATTCTCGCGAGACAGACGAGACCGAGATTGTGACGTGTTATACCCACTTCCGGTATAGTTGTACACGCTGGTACAACTGAAATATATCTTGATGAAGAACTTATTAATTTAATTGCGTACATTATATATTATTTATGAAAACATCATATGGAACTGAATTGCTTTAATTAATTAATTGAAGACGCCGCGACATTAATTATCATTTGCCCGATACTCAAGCTTGCTGATGATCCCACCACATGATTTAAGCAATGACTGCTTAATTTTCAAAGATAAACCATAAATTTACTTTGGGTACTATGAGAAACTTCTTCAAATTGACGATATATCCTTCTATTTTGTACTTAATATTCGCTAGACAAGCTGTCCAAATAGGGTACATCGCCGGTCATATATCTTTTTATCGTTATCTACTTACCAAATTCCTTTCCCCGACAGATACGCATTTCTTCTACCGTAAATTTAATCCAATAAAACAAAAAATCATAAATCTACTTAATATTTAAAATGATTATTGGGAACTGAAAAAAATGTGTTGCTATTTTATGACGTGCTGTAATTTACTACAGTACAATTTGACAGGTGTGGAACCGAATTCCCCCTAAGGTCATTCAGTTCACTGATGAAGCGTAAAAAAATAGATGTCTATTTCGTCATTAGAATATTTGACAAGGGTGATTAACCAATTAGGGCAACATTGTGCATGATCAAAAGGTCTGTCGGCACAGAGGCATACAAGGAGCAATAAAAATCGTCAGTACACAGTGTGACTGGAGCATTTGGTGCAAATTAGGAACAATTAAAATGGACAATGCGCAGTATTAGACATAAGTAGTAAGAACCAGCAATTGTGTGAATAAATTATGCAAATTAGATTTTTGAGCAGCCAATAAAAATGATTTGCCTGCAGTTAATATTAGGCTACGATTACGATGCGCAGCATCATACGTTGACAGACATGTTAACAATTTACTTTTCAAAACAGTTGCTGATATTTTTGAAATGTGTACATCAATTATAACATATGTTCACACCTTTAAATTTGAAAGTCAGAATCAAACTGCAAAAAATTAATTATATGTACTATTAAGAACACGTTTTAGTAGGGTTTTTATAATGGAAGTGGCTAGCGTACGGGCCCGTACGGCTAGCAAAAAGTTTTAGCCGTACGTGAGTCACGTACGACTAGCAAGGACACGCTGTATTGGCTAGCCGTACGGCACTTTTCAAAATTTTATGGAAGTCGAAAATGCATATGTTATTTTATGACTTTAAGCGAGGATTTTAACCAAGAAACAGCATTAATTGTCTTTGGATGTTAACTTTTTAGAGATTAATCGCCTTGACCGCTATATATATCGATCTTTGTCATCGCAAGATGTCGAGAAAAAATAGCCTTTGCTTGCATTTACACCAATTGAAATAGTTTACAATTTTTTGATAATAATCCTTTTTTGTTTCATTAAGTTTAATTTTCGACACCTTTTATATGAAAAAAAAAAACAACAACAACAACAAACACTGAAAATGATTGTTGTTAGGCTCTTGATAATTGCGACAATTACCGACGGTACTGTATCAAGGAAAGTTTGCATGTTCCTTGAAAGGCATTCTAAAATTCTATTGTCAGTCCCTGGATAGGTTTTAATTAAGGCTAATTAATTGATTGACTGTGCTTTTATGTTCGATATTTATCTACTGTTTTGAAAATTATATAATTATTTTTGCATTTCACCGTTTTTTTCATTCAATGTTCTTTTTATTTATTTATTCCACTCCGATCATTTTTTATTCGATCCATGTGCTTAAAATTAACAAAAATTATTTAATAATTCATACAAATTAAACAACAAATGATAAGCATGAAAATCAACAATTTTATAACGTTCGACTTCCATATAATTTTGAAAATTGCCGTACGGCTAGACAATACAGTGCGTCCTGGCTAGTCGTTCGTGACTCACGTACGGCTAGAACTTTTGGCTAGCCGTACGTTTCTTTATTTATTATTATTATTTTTTTTTTTTGATATTGTTACGT